AGAATGCAAGAGTGTGCAAAGCTGTCATCAAGGTAAAGGGTGGCTACTTTGAAGAATCTCAAATATAAAAATATATTTGGATTTGTTTAACACTTTTTGATTCCATATGTGTTATTTCATAGTTTTGATCTCTTCACTATTATTCTACTATGTAGAAAATAGTAAAAATAAAGAAAAACCCTGGAATGAGTAGGTGTGTCCGAACTTTTGACTGGTACTGTACATGTAGGTAGGGTTAAAGTGACTATGCATAGATAATAAACAGAGAGTAGCAGCAGCGTGTGTGAAGAGTGTGAATGCATGTGTGTGTGTGTGTGTGTGTGTGTGTGTGTGTGTGTGTGTGTGTGTGTGTGTGTTGGAGTGTCAGTTTAGTATGTGTGGGTGTGTGGTTAGAGTCCAGTGAGTTTACATCAAGGCTGCGCAAGAGAGTCAGTGCAAAAAATAAGAATAGATCAGAATAAAAAAAGCTTGTGTGTGTGTGTGGTGTGTGTGTGGTGTGTGTGTGTGTGGTGTATGTGTGTGTGTGGTGTATGTGTGTGTGTGTGTAGGTGCGTGAGAGCGGAGTTGGAGAATCTACCGTGTGATGAGGACAGCATTGTCATGGTGAGCCATGCCATTCTCCGGGATGCTGTTCCCGTCTCCTTGGTGACTGAGGATGGACTTCTGCCACTTACAGAAGCTGTCTAGAGACTTGTCTGCATGGTGGTTGATCTCCAGGTTGGGCTGGATAGAACATACAGCACATATTACAACACAGTTTTTTTTTTTTTTTTTTGAGAGAGAGTCTGAACACATCCACAACCCGGAACAGTCAGAACACATCCACAACCCAGAACAGTCAGAACACATCCACAACCCAGAACAGTCAGAACACATCCACAACCCAGAACAGTCTGAACACATCCACAACCCAGAACAGTCTGAACACATCCACAACCCAGAACAGTCTGAACACATATACAACCCGGAACAGTCTGAACACATCCACAACCCAGAACAGTCTGAACACATCCACAACCCAGAACAGTCTGAACACATCCACAACCCAGAACACACAGAACCCAGCTCTCTGTCAAGAACAGGGACAGCATTCTGCACTTGACTAGGGCTGAATTAAGATTAACGCAAGCCACTCAAACTTTCACTTAAATCTCCTATTGACATCAATGTATGATTGGGCCGTCTTTGTAAAAAGCATAAGTCAAAAACTACAGTATATAAGCCTATAAAAGCCATGTCCACCATTTGACAGGATTCTGATATATCTGTTAAAAATAATCCAAAAATATATATATTCTAATTATTAATATATCCAAATAACACTATATCTGGGTAAAACATATAGGGTTCTGTCTTAAAATGGAGAATGTATGAAGACGTATTCATCTCTGCTGGCATCAATCCTGTATAGACAGACGCTAGATGTACAGTTCACCCTGTTCCTCCCATCAAACCTACACATTATATACAGGTATCTGCCTGTAAAGTGTCTTAATAGGGCGTTGGGCCACCACAAGCCGCCAGAGCAGCTTCAATGAATCTTGCCATAGATTCTACAAGTGTCTGGGACTCTATTGGAGGGAGGCGACACCATTCTTCCACAAGAAATTCCATCATTTGGTGTTTTGTTGATGGTGGTGGAAAACGCTGTCTCAGTCGCCGCTCCAGAATCTCCCATAAGTGTTGAATTGGGTTGAGATCTGGTGACTGAGCCGGCCATGGCATATGGTTTACATCGTTTTCATGCTCATCAAACCACTCAGTGACCACTCGTGCCCTGTGGATGGAGGCATTGTCATCCACTCCCATCAGGATAGAAATTATTCACCATAAGCTGAAGGTGATCATTCAGAATGGCTGTGTATTTACTGGTGTTTACCTTGCCCTGTAAGGGGTTGACTGGACCTAAGCCATGTTAGGGAAATGCACCCCACACCATAACTGAGCCACCAGAACCCTTCTTTACTCAATTGTTTCCATTATGTTCGCAGTTACAGTGAGGGAAAAAAGTATTTGATCCCCTGCTGATTTTGTACGTTTGCCCACTGACAAAGAAATGATCAGTCTATAATGTTAATGGTAGGTTTATTTGAACAGTGAAAGACAGAATAACAACAAAAGAATCCAGAAAAACGCATGTCAAAAATGTTATAAATTGATTTGCATTTTAATGAGGGAAATAAGTATTTGACCCCCTCTCAATCAGAAAGATTTCTGGCTCCCAGGTATCTTTTATACAGGTAACGAGCAGAGATTAGGAGCACACTCTTAAAGGGAGTGCTCCTAATCTCAGCTTGTTACCTGTATAAAAGACACCTGTCCACAGAAGCAATCAATCAATCAGATTCCAAACTCTCCACCATGGCCAAGACCAAAGAGCTCTCCAAGGATGTCAGGGACAAGATTGTAGACCTACACAAGGCTGGAATGGGCTACAAGACCATCGCCAAGCAGCTTGGTGAGAAGGTGACAGTAGTTGGTGCGATTATTCGCAAATGGAAGAAACACAAAATAACTGTCACTCTCCCTCGGCCTGGGGCTCCATGCAAGATCTCACCTCGTGGAGTTGCAATGATCATGAGAACGGTGAGGAATCAGCCCAGAACTACACGGGAGGATCTTGTCAATGATCTCAAGGCAGCTGGGACCATAGTCACCAAGAAAACAATTGGTAACACACTACGCCGTGAAGGACTTAAATCCTGCAGTGCCCGCAAGGTCCCCCTGCTCAAGAAAGCACATATACAGGCCCGTCTGAAGTTTGCCAATGAACATCTGAATGATTCAGAGGAGAACTGGGTGAAAGCGTTGTGGTCAGATGAGACCAAAATCGACTCTTTGGTATCAACTCAACTCGCCGTGTTTGGAGGAGGAGGAATGCTGCCTATGACCCCAAGAACACTATCCCCACCGTCAAACATGGAGGTGGAAACATTATGCTTTGGGGGTGTTTTTCTGCTAAGGGGACAGGACAACTTCACCGCATCAAAGGGATGATGGACGGGGCCATGTACCATCAAATCTTGGGTGAGAACCTCCTTCCCTCAGCCAGGGCATTGAAAATGGGTCGTGGATGGGTATTCCAGCATGACAATGACCCAAAACACATGGCCAAGGCAACAAAGGAGTGGCTCAAGAAGAAGCACATTAAGGTCCTGGAGTGGCCTAGCCAGTCTCCAGACCTTAATCCCATAGAAAATCTGTGGAGGGAGCTGAAGGTTCGAGTTGCCAAACGTCATGCTCGAAACCTTAATGACTTGGAGAAGATCTGCAAAGAGGAGTGGGACAAAATCCCTCCTGAGATGTGTGCAAACCTGGTGGCCAACTACAAGAAACGTCTGACCTCTGTGATTGCCAACAAGGGTTTTGCCACCAAGTACTAAGTCATGTTTTGCAGAGGGGTCAAATACTTATTTCCCTCATTAAAATGCAAATCAATTTATAACATTTTCGACATGTGTTTTTCTGGATTTTGTTGTTGTTATTCTGTCTCTCACTGTTCAAATAGACCTACCATTAAAATGATATAGACTGATCATGTCTTTGTCAGTGGGCAAACGTACAAAATCAGCAGGGGATCAAATACTTTTTTCCCTCACTGTACCTGTAGGTTGAATGTAAAAATCCTCTATCAAATCTCACTGAGGGAAGATGTCTGAGCTCATCTCCACTGGAGAAGCTTTCATCTTTAGTGGTGGCAGACATATGACAGATGCTTCTTATGCTCATTCCTTTCCTATTTTCTACTCTCGCTCGTGTCCTCTTCTCTCGTCTCTTCTTGTCACTCCTCTCCTCTCTCCCTTCTCTTTCCTCCTCCTACTCTCTCTCAACTGCTTGGAATAACTATGTTATTGCATAATAAGTAACCAAACCACAGAAATTGTAACTGAGATTAGAGCAACATACAGATGTTGATGTAGAATAGAAAGAGAGAGAGAGGCAGAGAGATAGAGAGAAAGAGGTAGAAGGAGGGAAAAGAGTGCACTCACCTGGTCCTCAGTCAGTACGATCAAGCGGGTTACTATAATGTTCACAACGTTTCCTAGGCTGGCATCACGGTAAAGTTTGGCAACCTGACCTCCAGAAAAGAAGAAAAGTCACAAAGTCAGACAAACTGTGTCCATGTGTCACAACACTTGATCAGTGTTTTCATCACACGTACTGGTGGAATAGAAAAACAGCCACCACACATTCAGCTCATGCTGCGATTTAAATGTCTGTTTTCAGTAAGAGAGAACATTCTGTTAAAATGTTAATGAAAACAAAATGCTATCCAAAGGGAGAATTATTTCGAATAAGTCCATTGATCATGCTCTAATACTCTACATTGGCTAGTTATCAGTAGGCTTGGGATGCCTCTCAATATCTTTCCTCCAATCCTTCATCTGTATTGATGTGAAAGATCTGGACAGGTGCAAGTGAGTCCTAAATGCTTTCACCTATCCTGTAAACTCAAATTAGTGTAAATGTAGGGGGAGGAGATGAGGAGAGGAAGCCACGTTAGACCATTGAGATTAACCCCTTTTGAGATTGACCCAAACTCTATTATCAGGCTTTTCTTTCAGACAAAACAACACTAATTGAAGCAAAAAGCAGGATCAAACTTACAATATTCATCACAGACAGGATATAATGCTCGATGTCTTTGCGTCCATGGTAACCAACCATCATCTTATCAGCTACCACCAGGGTCTCTACGAAGCGTTCCGTGCTGAGTGACCGCCTTTGTCTGTGGCCCCCCCCGGGCAGGGTGCTGTTGGACCCAGGGGCTGGGGTGGGAGAGGAGGAGGGAGAGGAGGAGGTTGGAGAGGTTGGGGAAGGAGTGCTATGTTGGCAGGGGATCACGCTTTTTGTGAGGTCTGTGAATGAAGGAGGGAGAGGCAGTTTATATGAGAAAAAATATTAGCAACTGAGTGAGAAAAGTTGATGATATGCTCTGAGAAAAGAATCATCTCAGGTGATTATAGGCAATGGTTTATCTGATGATCATCTTCATGGGGTATTTTAACTTTAAAAAGATAAGTAGAATTTGATACTGTTCAGCTCAATAGAAACATTCAAGGGAGACTAGAACTCCTGATAATTTGATAACAAATAATGAGTTGAACATTTATTAAACATTTATCAACATAAATAAATAAGCCACTAAATGAAAACACAATGAAACAATCAGATATAGTCCATTGTGAAGGCATAGCCAAAGCAGAGCCAAGGGAGAGTTTGAGATATAATTGCAGACACGTTGGGAATCTGGCCCTTTGAACCTTCCAGCTGAAGGCTTCCCTTCCTTTATGACCCAGATGCTCTGGGGAAAGGCTATAAGACAGAACATGTCAGGGCATGTCAGCTTCCTGCTGATGACAGCCTTCGCTGCTACTTATAAGACTTTGGTCCAAATACCTACACATCCACCTGGTTCCCCTCCAATCCCTATCCCACCACACAACATCTCACAGGACACCGCTCTGATGAGAGCCAGAGTATGTGTATTGTCCTTTAAAGCACTTAAAGAGAAAAGGAGCCTCCATTTGAATTCAGTGGTTCTAGTTGCTCTCGTTCTATAGTGCCCAGTCACAGACTACAAGGCCTTTTTTTGATCAGTTCTGTGCTATACAGTGCATTCGGAAAGTATTCATACCCCTTGACTTTTTGATAAGTAACAGCCTTATTCTAAAATGGATTAAATAAAACAAATTCCTCATCAATCTACACACAATACCCCATAATGACAAAGTAAAAACTGGTATATATAAATTTTTGGAAATGTATTAGAAACAAAAAACAGAAATACCTTATTTACATAACTATTCAGACCCTTTGTATGAGACTCGAAATTGAGCTCAGGTGCATCCTGTTTCCATTTATCATCCTTGAGATGTTTCTACAACTTGATTGGAGTCCACCTGTGGTAAATTCAATTGATTGGACATGATTTGGAAAGGCACACACCTGTCTATATACGGTCCCACAGCTGACAGTGCATGTCAGAGCAAAAACCATGCCATGGAATTGTCCGTAGAGGTCCAAGACAGGATTGTGTCGAGGCACAGATCTGGGGAAGGGTACCAAAGAATTTCTGTAGCATTGAAAGTCCCCAAGAACACAGTGGCCTCCATCATTCTTAAATGGAAGAAGTTTGGAACCAGCAAGACTCTTCCTAGAGCTGGCTGCCCGGCCAAACTGAGCAATCGGGGGAGAAGGGCCTTAGTCAGGGAGGTGACCATGAACCCGATGGTCACTCTGACAGAGCTCCAGAGTTCCTCTGTGGAGATGGGAGAAGATTCTCTGGTCTGATGAAACCAAGATTGAACTCTTTGGCTTGAATGCCAAACGTCACATCTGGAGGAAACCTGGCTCCATCCATACGGTGAAGCATGGTGGTGGCAGCATCATGCTGTGGGGATGTTCTTTAGTGGCAGGGACTGGGAGACTAGTCAGGAACGAGGGAAAGATGAACGGAGCAAAGTACAGAGAGATCCTTGATGAAAACCTGCTCCAGAGCGCCCAGGACCTCAGACTGGGGCGAAGGTTCACCTTCCAACAGGACAACGACCCTAAGCACACAGCCAAGACAACGCAGGAGTGGCTTCGGGACAAGTCTCTGAATGTCCTTGAGTGGCCCAGCCAGAGCCCGGACTTGAATCCAATCGAACATCTCTGGAGAGACCAGAAAATAGCTGTGTAGCGACGCTCCCCATCCAACCTGACAGCGCTTGAGAGGATCTGCAGAGAAGAATGGGAGAAACTCCCCAAATACAGGTGTGCCAAGCTTGTAGCGTCATACCCAACAAGACTCAAGGTTGTAATCACTGCCAAAGGTGCTTCAACAAAGTACTGAGTAAAGGGTCTGAATACTTACGTAAATGTTATATTTAAGTTTGTAATTTTTTATACAAATTAGCAACATTTTCTAAAACCTGTTTTTGCTTTGTCATTATGCGGTATTGTGTGTAGATTGATGAGAGAAAAAAAAATCCATTTTAGAATAAGGCTGTAATGTAATAAAATGTGGAAAAAGTAAAGGGGTCTGAATACTTTCCGAATGCACTGTACACCAGGATGAGGGGAGGCCAGAATGGGCCAGCCCTACAGCAGCGCGGTCACATCCACCGGAACCTGGGACTAGAACCAAACCAGCACTTCCTCTAGTCTGCTATGTATAGCTGCCCGTTTACGTTAGTCACCCAGCTCAGAGTCAACCCAGACTGAGGGCAGTGGAGAGCATGGGAGAGGAGAGGAGTGGAGAGGAGGATGCTTCACCAACCTGAGATGCCACAGCTGAACTCATGTTGGTTGGGTTGCTGCTGTGGCGAGGGAATTGAAGACTTTTTATAAATAACATGCTGCTGTCCTTCTCCCTGGTTCCATTGGCTGGAAGTGGCGGACGATATATTCTTTAATGGCTCTATTAAATACTGCTCTTCTTCTGTTGTAATAACACCGTGCTTGTTGAGAAACAAGAACATCGAGAGAGACAGGTTATAAGCAAACAATACAAACAACATTACAAGGCACACACACATAAACACAACATTTGAATTGATCTTATTGTAGTTTTAAAATAATTGCATAACCCCTTTTATCATAGAAAATGTCTAACAATTCCAACTCCTTACAGTGAACCATTTATGCCATTTATATGAAATTACCTTTGACAAATAACCCCTATCATTTTCATTATAGTCATCAAAATATTGTTTTACTAATGAGTATTATGAACCAGGTTGAATGCTTTTTCCAGCACAACCACAATCATATGTGAAATGATTGGCACCCTGAGTCAGGGCTAAATGGCTAATGGTGTGTTCCAGCCGGAGTCATGTAACATTGCAGGCTGCAACACATAGAACAACTAACTCACAGCTCTGCTCTGCTCTGCTCTGTGTGTTGCACTGCAGTCAGACGTGAAAACACCCCACACTCTGAAGCAATTTTATAAATCATGTTATAACAACCAATTACACCTAGAACAACGCTGTAATTACTGGGACTGGAACCAAAGTACACAGCTCTCTGCCCTTGAACACCCCCTTTGTAACATAAATTGAAAAAGTACTTCAGAATGTGTTTATAAAAAACATTGGCACGCTGCATCACTCAGTAAAAACCCACAATGAAACCAATTAACCAAATATGACAACCTGGCACACGTCGGCAAGAAACCAATATTTGATAAAAGCCTAGCAGAGTGCGATGTCAAGATGTCTGGCAATTTACGAGATTAAACTACAGATATATTTCAGTTTTGTCCATTTTTGGTACTATTAAACGGTCTGAGGCGAAACAGACCTAATACTAATTCAATTTATGATACTGGAGCTGTGGGGTTGCCAGTACGTTTGGCCGCAACAACGGTAATACATGTTTTTCTCCACATGATTGCGATTGGCACAGAGGAACAGGGCTTTCTCCTTGTTCTGAGACATTTCAAAGTAAATGAGGGGGGATAAGAGTTTTTCCAATTGCTTCCAACAGTGAGTTTTAACGAAGACAGTCTGGCCAGTCCGTCAGTCTAAGATCAACAGCCTGAGGACCAATATCTCAGCTTTGATGATTAGCCGCTTCGTTAAAGCCCACAGAAAGCAACACATTCGCTTTCTTTCTTTTTTCACTGGAGAAACTCCAGTTCAAACCCCCCTAGTTCAAAAGCCCAGTTCAAAACCCCCTAGTCTAACCCCTAACCTCCAAACATACACTTCTCATAGATCTGACACTATCAGATGAGTCCTAGCCTTAGGCTGTGTGGAGCTATTGCCATATTGCCTACCTACACTCATTCAACCCCTTCAGATCTACAAGGAATGCCTAGGGGTTAATTAGGGGCTAGGGGTTGATTTGGGACTGGGTATTAGTTTATCTGAGGAAACCGAAACCTGAAGAGAAGTTTTAGGTGTGCCCAAAACAAGATTTGGCCCTGACTGTTTAGTAAGCAAACAGAAAAACAGCCCTGCATGCTTATCTGTCACAGTCCATTGAGAAGGATATGTATTAGGTTCTCTATGGTGAGCTGGCTGGCTGGCTGGTTGCGACTAAAGCTCTGATGATCCTGTAAAGCAGCCTTTCTTAAAGTATGGGTCGCGACGACATGTTAATGGTGTGTGGCGACATATTTTAGGAACTCAGAGGAGGTCTCAACTTATTGTTTACAGTTAGAAGCGTAGAATACGCAAGATGCAATTTGGGGGGCCCACATTGATTTTGTTAGTCACTCTCACTCAGATATCATATTAACATGGCATAAGTCATGGCAAAATGTGTAGAATTGCAGGAAATGTGCTTTAAAACTGCTAAGATTTCTCTCCACCCCATGGCAAAATGGGTAGAATTTTAGAAAACTTGCTTTAAAACAACAACATTTTCATTACACCCCATGGCAAAGTGTTTAGAATTGCAGGAAATTAAAGTTAAAACTTTTTCTCTCTGCTGTCAAGAGAGGGGCCATTCTAACCCGACCAAATCTTGCTTAGGACCCCAAAAGGGATCATGTTTTTATGACCTTGGGTCCCAGGAAAACACAGAGTTTCTCAATGTTCCCAGGCTGAATAAGTCTAAGAGCCCCTACTGTAGAGAGCTTTCCCCATTAGCCACCCTACTATGCCCTATCCTAAGTGGCACTGTGCCAGGTGGAGGGAGGCCAACATGCTATTTAGCAAACTACACTCTGTCTAATCCTGTGACAGTAGAGCTGAGGGTTTGTCTGAGGTAGCCAGAGCAAAGAGACGGCATAGTATTAACTCTCTGTGCCTGGTCAATGGGGGCCTCCTGGCCTCCTCACAAAACAGGTCCTTGAGTACTCAAAGAATATTCAAACACACTCAAATATCCACAAATACATTCAGACATACTCTAAACAAAAGTCACAGAAACCCATAAAGGGGAGTAGAGTGGTGGTGGGTGTTCTACTTGGAAACAGACAGATCAAGTTGTCCTCTCTTCCATCCCTTCATCACACATTCCAATACCCTGATTGGCTACAGTAGCTTCCTTCCAACACACACCCAAACCAAACACATCAACTCCAGAATCCCATGGTACTCACCAAGCCCTTACAGTTACTGAGCGCTACTCTGGTGGAGCTGTACTGATCCTGGAGGTATCCTACATAGTGGCAGTTCTCCACCATGTCATGTCTCCACTCCAGGCCCTCTCTCCCCCAGTACTCCACCGTGAAATGTTTGGACACCAGGTGAGGGTTGAGGGTCAGGTTTAAGTGAAAGTGCTTTCCGTAAGCCGACAGTCTGTAGAAGACCTGGGTCTGGGCCGGGTCCTGTTCGGCGTGGTCGGTTGGCTCTGGGCCGACGGTGGTGCTGGTTGGGTTGGTGGTTCGTCTCCTGCGACCGGGTCGGTGGTGTTTCACAGTGTAGCTGAGGAAGTCCCCGTTCTCGTCCACCTGCACCGGTACAGTCAGCTGGTAGTGCTGCAGGTAGGACAGGTACTCCTCTTTTACAGAAAAGAACAGATGGGGAGAGATGAGCCATCGGAGCAGGGGTGAATGAGGAAGAGAAAAATGAACACAGAATGTGAATCTGAGTAAGAACATTGATACACTACAGTAAGAAGCGACATATTAAAGACAATGGGGGCCTTCCAGCCATTGCAGAATATAACAGGATTACACACTACAGATAGTAGCTCATAGAATGTAGAATGTCTATGGTGGAACTCAGACAGAGACAGGCAGGATAGACATGACCTCACAGTGTTCCAAAGCTAGCAGGTTGTGATCTACAGTGGGTTCATCCCTCTAAAACAACAGTCAGGCCAGGGCCACCAGATGTTGCAGATGTCTCACTGACTGACCACTGACCATGAGCAGCAACCATGCATACACCTGCCTCACTGGGAAGACAAATCCGTTTCTCTAAAGGAGAGCAGTTCTAGTACCTTGGGTGCAATCAAGCAAGTTAAGATGTACAATTAAGCAATGAGCAGTCCTACCTTGTGAGTTGTGCGAAAATCTTTGAAATTCTGAGGAAGCCATGACCACCACCAGGCTCAATATCAATATCCAAGTCAGCGTCTTCCGCAAAATTTCCATCATTCAGAGAAAGGTCTGACATGGGGTTGGGGGGAGGAGGGGTAAGGGGGTGGTTGTGCTACTGGCGGGCTAGGAACACACGATCAGTCCGGCGTGCCTGGCACCATAACAAGCCCATGGTTTGGGTCCTCTGTGGGGGAAATGTTCTCACTACTGCTTCTTCTCTTCTTGTCTCATCCAGGTCTCATCCAGAGAACGTCTCCGAGACACTCAGATTCCTCCTGAGGGCAGCAGACACTTCCAGACCTCACTGGTGTTTCCCTCTGAGCTCATGTCAGCCACTCATCATGGGTGGTGGTGATGCTAGAATCCATCGGTAGATCAGTCAGTCACTTCAAGCACGTCCACAGCAGCAGATTTATAGATCTAGATCTATATTGGAAGCTTGTCTTGACCAATCCATCTGCATACCTGTGAATACATCATTGCATAGTTCAATAAGCATACCTGCTACAAAACAACTAGTCTACACTATTAGAAAAATCTAGAACCTAAAAGGGTTCTTCGGGTGTCCCTATAGGAGAACCCTTTGAAGAACCCTTTTTGGTTCCAGGTAGAACCCTTTTGGGTTCCAGGTAGAACCCTTTCCACAGAGGGTTATACATGGAACCTAAAAGAGTTCTACCTGGAACCAAAAAGGGTTATCCTATGGGGACAGCCAAAAAACACTTTTGGAACCCTTTTTTCTAAGAGTGTACTACATAGGCTAAAATTTGTATCTAATACAATTAGCCATGGAAAAAAAGATGATGCCAAATGACTGCACAGCATATTCACCAACAGTACACTCCATGACAGAAATACCATCCTCCAGTTGCCTGCTTACCCAGCATGCCATGGTGTGTGGTTAGCAGGTTAGCGTTTTTCGTCATGAATCTTGTTCTGGAGGCAGCTCTGCAGAGTGGTCACTAGCTAGCACAGCCACAAAGTCATACAATCTGATTTTAAACCTAACCATCATCTTAACCCTAACCACCTGCTAATTTTTGTTTTCATTAATTTTTTCAATATAGCCCATTTTGACTTCGCAGCTGGCTTATCTAAGGGGAAATCGCTCAGTTCTGCCTCCAGGACAAGACTCATGACAATAAACGTCAACCTGCATGTGGTTAACGGTGTTTATGACACCATACCATCTCCACAGCCTAAGGAGAAGTCAGTCTTTCAGATATTCAACAGCAAGTCACAACAACAACAACACGTTGATCAAGTACAAAAGCAGCCTATGCTTCGATGTCCGCCAGCCTCCTCAGTCAACACAGCACCTGTCTCTATAACAGGTTTAGGCATCTCTCTCCCACTGACTCTAGTTGCAGCCAGGAGCAAATCAAAAGATTAACGTTGGTCTCAGCAAGCCCTCTGTGTGTGTGTGTATGTGTGTGTGTGTGTGTGTGTGTGTGTGTGTGTGTGTGTGTGTGTGTGTGTGTGTGTGTGTGTGTGTGTGTGTGTGTGTGTGTGTGTGTAACAACGTAGAAGTAAAGGTGTTATAATCATGTAATAACGCACACATTTATCATTGAACCTATCAATCAATTAATTAATTAATCATTCACTTGTTCTATATTTCTAACCACTTACCGGATATTCTTCAAGAAAGAGAGGGTCACTCACTCACACAGCTCATAAACAGCACGCCATACTTTTAGAACCAAGTCCAGGCAAGGTTCCAAGTTTACGTCCAAGTGAAAATGCGTAAATTCCACTAATCACCTCTGATCTATCGGATGTGCGTAAAGACAGTATGGGTGGTTATCTGTCTGTGGATAGAATCCAGAGTGTTGGAAGCGGCGTGTTGCACCTTGTGTAAGCGCTATATAATGAACATCTAGCAACATATATCCAGACAGCAGCGCTATATCTACTTGGCCACTCCGTCTGACCCAGACATTTGGCACCCAGCTCGAATACATCAGACTACACCGACCGACCGACTGAAATAAAAAAACGTTTCACTGCTCCTTTAAAGTGAATCTATCATACCAACAGTTCAGCACTGTTCCTATGTTAGGGATTACGAAAAGAGTATGAAAACGCCGGGAATAATTATTGTTAGCTATTTCAGAAATTACAGACACTATCTCGGTCAAGTCATATGGGTTTGCTTGACTCCTTAACACACAGACAGAGACAGACCGTTCTTGCATATGTGGACCTGTTTTAGTGAGTTACAAATGTAACAGTGCAAGATAAAGTAGGCTATGCCAAGTGCTTATAGGCATCAAACCAGTTTTAAAAGACACGTGATTGTTCTATAAACGCTGGAAGAAATAGTGGATCCAACTTTAACCAACCTTTACTCGCCAAATACTGTATGTGTATGGAATTCCAAGTTCCTATAGGGTTTTACTTTTATACGTTTCATCTAGTTCTAATTTTGTTAAAATCACAAAAGAGGTTTTTCCAAAAGATGTGGGCTACAATGTGAAAAATAAATCATTGCATTTTCTGTTTGTTTTTTAAAGATGGATAGCCTACACACTTGAAAGAAAAGAAATCTGCGGCGGCTCTGTTAAAAGTGCATGAGAGACACACAGCATTCTCTAGTTGTGTCTATGGAGTGCTGATAGACTACAAGCAGATAGTTACCGTCTTCATCTTCATTGTCAGCGGCAAAGCCAAACTGTGGAGAGTAGAGTAACGTTACAGAGTGCAGACAATAGACTTCGTCTGCGCTGAAGTTCCGTAGTAGCCAGATCACTTCTCTCCTTCTTGGTTTATGCCATTCTCTATCTCCCCATGAGAGAGAAAACAGATGAACATAAATGTCTTAGCAGAAAAGTCTATCCCCAAGAATAACTTTTAAACTAACTCCAAAATAAGGATACCTAATTTATAGCCCTGTCCTCTTTAAAATAGACTTGGTGTGATTGCTGAGTTGTTACTTTTGGATAACGCAGGTAGTATGCTGCAGAATAATAACAAATAGTCTAGATCTAGGACAGTGCATGCAACACACCTAAATTGAGTTGAAGTAGCTCCCTTTAATACAGTATACCCGGTCTGGAACCATAGCCAAGTTCTGAGCTGCTTCAAATTGGCAGCTTTTTCAGGCTGGGAGGTTCAGCTGACGTCATTGCAGATGTGCGTATTCTAACCATCAGCTGTGCGCATGTTCCGATCTAATATCACGTGCAGGGGGGTACAAATAGGTTGCAGGAACTTCTCTTTTCCATAATCTATAAGCACAAAGTGTAGCATAATTGACTGGTTTGCCAACAATCACAGTAGAAAAAAGTTTGGCACACTTAAAAGTGTTTGTTGCAACAAAGATAAACAAAGATGTAGAAAACCATTATTTTCCAGTGGACGTTTTTTATTAGGAGACCTAGCTAACATATAGCAGTGAAATTGGTCAGCTTTAATAGCCTGCCCTAGACCTTGGCATCTTATGGTATACCATCTATAGTGTACAATATGTGGAACTCTATAGACCTAGTTTTTGACAAAGCTAACAATATCCTGCATTTATTCTTGTTATGGAATAATGGATATGGTTGAACTAAACTTTTCAGCCAAGGATATTGTCTACCTAGTATAACAATTATTTGCTCCAGTACTGTTGCTGAAATGCACCAGTGACTAAGTTGGCGTAGGGAGAAATCATTAGATGAGTCAAATAGGCAAAGCTGCAATTTTTCAGAATGCAGTGTGTAACCTACTTAAGATGGAGAATCACTCTGATGATAAACACAGAACTATTTGAAGGATTGTTGCGCCTTCCTGTGTTCAAAAACTATATAGCAGCTTTGAGCCATTATTATCTGCCATCATTATCTGTATTAATAAATGCTAAAGAACTGTATTTTTCTAAATCTCGGAAATGCATCTTGTCCTCTTTATTTCACCTGTACTCATTGTCTTATTAATTGTGGTATTTGATGTGGGTTTCCTCATTGTGTGTTTGATTGAATTCCTGCATAAATTGGAGTTGAAATGTAAATAAAGACGGCATGTGCTGTCAAGCCAGCCTTGGCTTGCCTGATAGGTGGTTTGAAAAAACTATTTAATAAACTGAAATGAAATAATTAACAAACCCGTTTGTAAAACAAAAATAGACTGAAACTATTATATTTCACTCCAAAACGAACTAAAATAAAACAAAACCATGAACTCTGATCAGTTTTAGTTTTTAGGGGGGCAAAAATCTAATGGGGTTTTCAAGCTTTTATTTCTAATCGGGTTTTCAAGCTTCTGAATCTGGCGGGTCACATTGAGAATGGACGTGTTCGAGAGCATCAAAGGACTAATGGAGACTGCCGACTGACTGATCTAGAAGTCACCTTGCTTCATTAATAACATCTCATTAATCATTTGTAGATCAGTCAGTCACAATATACCCATGACACATTGCGGTTTTGATCATCTTGAACATGGCCACTGACTTTATCATTTAAAGGTAAACTCAACGAGATGATGTTTCCACAAGCAGCACACACAGAGATACATAGAGATATCATCTTTATATACAGTGCATTCAGAAAGTATTCAGACCCCTTCTCCTTTTCCACATTTTGTTAGGTTACAGCCTTATTCTAAAATGTATTAAATTGTTTTCCCCCCTCATCAACCTACACTCAATACCCCATAATGACAAAGCAAAAACAGGTCTTTAGACATTTTTGCAAATGTATATAAAAAAAACACTGAAATATCACATTTACATAAGTATTCAGACCCTTTACTCAATACTTTATGGAAAGCACCATTCGCAGCGATTACAGCATCGAGTCTTCTTGGGTATGACGCTACAAGCTTGGCACACCTGTATTTGGGGAGTTTCTCCCATTCTTCTCTGCAGATCCTCTCAAGCTCTGTCAGGTTGGATGGGGAGCGTCGCTGCACAGCTATTGTCAGGTCTCTCCAGAGATGTTCGATCGGGTTCAAGTCCGGGCTCTGGCTGGGCCACTCAAGGACATTCAGAGACTTGTCCCGAAGCCACTCCTGCGTTGTCTTGGTTGTGTGCTTCGCCCCAGTCTGAGCACTCTGGAGCAGGTTTTCATCAAGGATCTCTCTGTACTTTGCTCTGTTCGTCTTTCTCTCGATCCTGACAAGTCTCCCAGTCCCTGCCGCTGAAAAACATCCCCACAGCATGATGCTGCCACCACAATGCTTCACTGTAGGGATGGTGCCAGGTTTCCTCCAGGCGTGACGCTTAGGCCAAAGAGTTCAATCTTTGTTTCATCAGACCAGAAAATCTTGTTTCTCAAGGTGCCTGTTGGCAAACTCCAAGCGGGCTGTCGTGCCTTTTACTGAGGAGTGGCTTCCGTCTGGCCACTCTACCATAAAGGCCTGATTGGTGGAGTGCTGCAGAGATGGTTGTCCTTCTAGAAGGTTCTCCCATCTTCACAGAGGAACTCTGGAGCTCTGTCAGAGTGACCATCGGGTTCTTGGTCACCTCCCTGACCAAGGCCCTTCTCCCCTGATTGCTCAGTTTGGATGGGCGGCCAGCTCTAAGAAGAGTCTTGGTGGTTCCAAACTTCTTCCATTTAAGAATGATGGAGGCCACTGTGTTCTTGGGGACCTTCAATGCTGCAGAAATGCTTTGTTACCCTTCCCCAGATCTGTGCCTCGACACAATCCTGTCTCGAACCTCTACGTACAATTCCTTTGACCTCTTGGCTTGGTTTTTGTTCTGACATGCACTGTTAACTGTGGGACATTATATAGACAGGTGTGTGCCTTTCCAAATCATGTCCAATCAATTGAATTTACTACAGGTGGACTCCAATCAAGTTGTAGAAACATCTCAAGGATGACCAATGGAAACAGAATGCACCGGAGCTCAATTTCGAGCCTCATAGCAAAGGGTCTGAATACTTATGTAAATAAGGTATTTATGTTTTTTATTTTATACATTTGCAAACATTTCTAAAAATTTGTTTTCACTTCGTCATTATGGGGTATTGTGTGTAGATTGATGAGAAAAATTTAATTTAATCAATTTTAGAATAAGGCTGTAACGTAACAAAATGTGGAAAAGGGGAAGGGGTCTGAATACTTTCCGAATGCACTGTATATTTCTTGATTCCATTATTGTACTTTTAGATGTGTGTATTGTTGTGAATTGCTAGATATTACTGTACTGTTGGAGCTAGGAACACAAGCATTTCGCTACACCCACAATAACATCTGCTAAATATGTGTATGTGACCAATACAATTTGATTTGATTTCAAATAAAAATCTTAACACTAATAGAAATAAAAACGAAAAAAAAACAGAAAACTATAATAGACTTTTGTGAGACTGTGATCTGGGATGGTAAAGTCTTTATTAAACATATTATCCCATATATTTGGTTATACTGCCTTGAGCGAGGCACTGTAAAACAACACATTTCACTGCACCTATCTGGTGTATGTGACAATAAAACATCTTATTTTACTGTTTGTTGACCTTTGAAACACCATTATTGACACAAGAGGATGGTAGCATACACCAGTAAAACCTCTCTCAAGCAAAATGTGTGTAAACAGAATCCCTTCCACCCCCTCTCTTTCGCTCTCTCTTGCTCGCTCTCTCTCTTTCGCTCTCTCTCTCTCTCGCTCTCTCTCTCTCACACACACTTGTAATGAGAGTATATATATATAATATACTTTTTTTCATTACTATGCTTATGGTAGATATGTTACCATGGTAAATTGGTTTAACCCCAGTGTTGGGGAGTCATGTAGTTCAACTAGTCATTTACCTCCAATTTGCAGTAGTGGTTGTTGAACTCAGTTCAAATCTTGGTAGTGTTTTCAATAGTGAATTTCTTTTTTGCCATGTAGAGGTGTAGCTAACTACTGAAACTACATACTACTTTTTTGCAAAAGGAAAATAAAAGATGGGTGAAGTAGGCAATCATTTTTCTTTTTCGGCATCAAACCTGCCTAATTCTCACTTGAAACTTTGCTTGTGTTTAATAGGCTAAATAACACATTCTGTTAACATTTGACCCCAGAGTGATCTGTCTTGCATTTTGTAGTCTGTGACATTTCAGATTTAGATATGATAATTTTTCAGTAGTTTGGATGTAGTGAACTACAGTGGGGGAAAAAAGTATTTAGTCAGCCACCAATTGTGCAAGTTCTCCCACTTAAAAAGATGAGGCCTGTACTTTTCATCATAGGTACACGTCAACTATGACAGACAAAATGAGAAAAAAAAATCCAGAAAATCACATTGTAGGATTTTTAATGAATTTATTTGCAAATTATGGTGGAAAATAAGTATTTGATCAATAACAAAAGTTTCTCAATACTTTGTTATATACCCTTTGTTGGCAATGACACAGGTCAAACGTTTTCTGTAAGTCTTCACAAGGTTTTCACACACTGTTGCTGGTATTTTGGCCTATTCCTCCATGCAGATCTCCTCTAGAGCAGTGATGTTTTGGGGCTGTCGCTGGGCAACACAGACTTTCAACTCCCTCCAAAGATTTTCTATGGGGTTGAGATCTGGAGACTGGCCAGGCCACTCCAGGACCTTGAAATGCTTCTTTGAAGCCACTCCTTCGTTGCCCGGGCGGTGTGTTTGGGATCATTGTCATGCTGAAAGACCCAGCCACGTTTCATCTTCAATGCCCTTGCTGATGGAAGGAGGTTTTCACTCAAAATCTCACGATACATGGCCCCATTCATTCTTTCCTTTACACGGATCAGTCGTCCTGGTCCCTTTGCAGAAAAACAGCCCCAAAGCATGATGTTTCCACCCCCAGGTCTGTGAGAGACAGAAATCTTGCTTGTTTGTAGGTGACCAAATACTTATTTTCCACCATAATTTGCAAATAAATTCATTAAAAATCCTACAACGTGAATTTCTTGATTTTTTTTCCTAAATTTGTCTGTCATAGTTGACGTGTACCTATGATGAAAATTACAGGCCTCTCTCCTCTTTTTAAGTGGGAGAACTTGCACAATTGGTGGCTGACTAAATACTTTTTTCCCCCACTGTACTTATTCAAAGTAACTTTAGTTAAGTAAACTATATAATTTTCTTAAGGGTAGCTTTAGTGTAGCTTAACTTCTTCCAGTGTGAAGTAATTACTTGGTAAACTATATTTTAAGAGTAGCTTCCCCAACACCATTTAACCCTACCAATACTACCAAATCTAAATGTTTATCACAGACACCATCACATTGGGTGCAGCAGCCATTCATGGAAAACTTTGAACGTTGGCATCAACAGCTAACAATTATGCCTCAAAGAGTAATACAGGGATTTATGGGAATTGTTATCAGTTTGTAAGATTAGCCTCCTTTACTTTTGGGCCTTAACCTGGTGCTTGATCTCATGCCTAAGAATGGCTCTATACATGTTTATATATGGTTCTATACATGTCTATATATGGCTCTGCTTGCATTTAGTTATGAGGTATTGAGCTATGGAATCATTTCATTGTTTGCGCTCTTCATGCAATAAAGTTCCCTACCGGTAAATATCCCCTACTCTTAGTGGCAGTAAAGTATATGGCCATGACAATCACCTGTCCTGAAACAGTATATAATGATGTTCCTTCCCAGTACCCTCCTTCAGTTCTCCACCTGCCACCACCGAGGATTCCTCGCCTCTTCTTCTGTACAGTACTATCCTTCAGCTAAACTACATCATACCGGTGAGATTTATTTCACAATAAGTTACCACATGGCTGGAAATCCTGTTTGTAGGTCAAGTAATAACTGTAGAAACTGTTTTGACAATGAAGGAATTTTTCACGAGTCAGGTTTTATCATGGTTTCATGACAAATATGCATGAATTTTCCATGGGTTTGACATTTTGCTTGGGCTACTGGTAGCTTTTCTTGCATGGTTTTGACAGTGTAGAGAACTGACAATACGGTAATAGTACCACAATTGTAGGAACCATTTAGGAACAAAACAGCTAAGAGCCATTGTTTAGGTTGTACTTAATGATGACCTGTGCCATGTTATCTTCCATAGAGAGACCATGTCTACTGTAACTAGACAACCAGGGAGCTACCAACCATCAGACTTCCAGACTGGCCTCTGCGACGTCTTCAGTGACTGTGGGACATGTAAGCGGACAGAAATTCCTATTTAACTAAGAGTGGCTGCATATCTTTTGTACATCCAGTGTTTTTCTTCATTTCATGCATGACTGAGGTAGCAAAATGTAATTTTTTTCATTGCTTTCTCCTTCTCTCCTGAACTGAGAGGTAGTAACAGTATAATGTACTTCTACTGTACTCTCTCTCTCTCTCTCTCTCTCTCTTTCTCCCTCTCAGGTTGTTATGGTTGGTGGTGCTTCCCGTGTCTGGGCTGTTCTATCGCCAGTGATATGGATGAGTGTTGTCTGTGCGGGCCGTCCGTGGCCATGCGCACCATGTACCGTACTAGATACAACATCAAGGTGAGTTTCTTTCATATACTGTAACAATATAGTTATATGATGCTTTATTACTCTTATTCGGTCACATGAAACATTCTAACCAGAGGGACAGGCTCAGATGTATGAGGTTCTCCTTGCCTCTCTGCAGGACTAACTGTCTTGTTTGGTTTGGTGTCCAGGGCTCCCTGTGTGGGGACTTCTGTTCTATCTTGTGGTGTAGGGTCTGCTCTACCTGTCAGCTGAAGAGAGATATAGATCTACGGAAGGAGCAGGGGATCTTCTGAACTCAGGTACAACCACAAGTCTGTCCATGTTTCACAGCACAGCTATTTATTTTCAGATAAGAAATATCTCATCCACCCACACTGCCGAGTGTGTCTATTAAACCCTTGAGCTACAGCCAAATAGCCTATTACCAGGCCCCTTGCTCACATCAGCAGGTACTAAAAGAGCAGCTCAAATAAGAGACTGGTGTAAATTAGGCGTACCCTCAAATGTATGGTAGTGCTGTGGAAACTGTAGTGAGGCAATAACTGATAACGTAGCCTTAGACTTACTGTCCCCTTGAACCTTATGTAAGTGTAACACATTGAGTCATTTTAGTTCTTTGTGGTATGGTCATACAGTAGAGCAGGTAAAGCATTTTAAAGACAAAAAATGTAAGTGTTTACTGGTATTTATGTCTCTTTTCCTGTAGATGGCACCAGAGAAGTGAATAAAAAGATCTGAGCTCCACTTCCAGTATCCTCAATTAGTTTTTGCTTTTGAGTTTAATTATTTTCTTGATGCGATATGAAATAGAAAGCAATAAATGTCCGGGATACTTTTTACCAAATGTAATTTGCCAATATGAATGCTATTAAAATGCTCCAATGGTAGGACATACATTGTGGCTTGATTATTCAGAAATTCCTAGAAATTGTGCATCATCAGTCAAATATATATATTCATTCTCTTTTTTATGTTTCTCCCCTTGTGTACTGCTGGTATGGACCGCTTCTATGTCACCTTATACTGAATAAAATAAAAAATAATTGTACACAAAATAAGTAAAAGATCATGTGAGCAGCAATATAACTTAGTCAAACATTTCTCAGACACACCTCAGGGTGAAGCACTGTACACATGTATTGGTTAACCTGGTCATTAAACTTTAGGTCCACTAGCTACTCATGTTTTGTAATAAAGATAAAGGCAGTGACAAATCACATGCTTGATGGACAGGATGAAGCTGTATAGTCCATTGGAGATTATGGTAGATAAATTAATCATTGAATTGTCAAACGGAGGGAGCCCTACCATACAGGTATGTTTGAAGTGTTCCCCTCTGTTGTGTGTAATATGTTAAATTATGATACTTGATAAATACACAAGCTCTTGGATATCTGTGGTGCTACTGTTTGAGTTTTTTTAAGACTAGAGCCAAAAATGTGTGTCACTGTCAATAGAACAGAAGGGGGACTTTGGCCAGACATGAGCTCAGGTCATTGATGAAGTGGTTTCCCAAAACACTGATAAGAGTATATAGACATTTATTACCAGGAGAAACACTCACCATTACCAGAAGAAATACTCAACCATTACTAGGAGAAATACTCACCATTACTAGGAGAAATACTCACCTTTACCAGAATAAATACTCACCATTACCAGAATAAATACTCACCATAACCAGAATAAATACTCACCATAGCGGACTACTGCAGTTGTCAATATGCCTGGAAAACCTACTTTTCTCCTTCTTCTTCTCATCATATCCTGCCTCTCAAGTAAGCATACTTCTCTACCATGGAAATGTAATTTCAGTATGTATTGTAAATGTTGTGCCACTTTATCAATGTTAAAGTTGGCGCAGTGGTCTAAGGCACTGCATCGCAGTGCTAGCTGTGCCACTAGAGATCCTGGTTCGAATCCAGGCTCTGTCGTAGCCGGCCGCGACCGGGAGACCCATGGGGCGGCGCACAATTGGCCCAGCGTCGTCCAGGGTAGGGGAGGGAATGGCCGGCAGGGATGTAGCTCAGTTGGTAGAGCATGGTGTTTGCAACGCCAGGATTGTGGGTTCGATTCCCACGGGGGGCCAGTATGAAAAATATATATATAATGTATGCACTCACTAACTGTAAGTCGCTCTGGATAAGAGCGTCTGCTAAATAGCTAAATGACGTAAATGTAAATGTTTTGTCCATCAGATGTGCAGGGGGCAAACTTTAAGAAGGTAATGTATCTAATTATAGTTATTTTGATACGAACAGTTGAATAAGCTAGTTTTTCTTACGCAACTAATGATATTGGTCGATTCAAATTAATTAAAACTGGGAGGAAAGACTCAGCTCACAACATGCAACTCCTCATCATTCCTTTAGCCCATGTGCTACAACTACCAGTTGCCTGGCTGTCCCTTCAACTTTGAGCCTGTGTGTGGATCCAATGGAGTTACTTACGCCAATGAGTGCGTGTTGTGTGACACCATAAGGTACAACACTATCAGTAATTGTTGTTATACAGTAAAACAGGTTGTTTGGATCCTTAATGCTGATTATAGAGGGACTGTAGTTAGAAAATGCATGGCTAAATCTGGTTATGTAAAGCATTATGTTATTCAATTACTACTGCAATTTAGCATCCATAAACTATTTGAGTTTCTGTATCAAGCTGTAGTCCAATCAAACTGGTACAATGTAATTCTTACTGACAGGGTGTAAGTAAATTGGAATTTATATTTTCTCTTTCAGAGAAACCAGGAGGAAGATACTAATTGTCAAATGTGGACCTTGCTGAAGAAGTCGGAATTTGCAAATTCAACAGTATAAAACATTGCTGAAACACAAATTCAACAGTATAAAACACTGCTGAAACACAAATTGTGATGAAAAAGAGCTGATCATGCAGAATAAATATTTTTTGTTAAACGCTAACTTCTTTTTCAACTTTTATTAATCTTTTTGTTGAAGTTAGACTCCGGTTCTGACAAAATATGTCCAAACAGAATGTAACGAGATCCTTGTACAAGAACACAGCAACAAATAAAGAGTGTCGGTAGGAATTGCCTGTGTGTCTTTCACATTTCAACCTTACTAACACCTTCATTGTGGGACACCAGTGTCTGAATCAAAGTATACATGAGATTGCAACCACTGGTAACTTGATGAGCCTATGGATTCAAGTATCCATTAATTTGTCCTACAAAGATGAATGGTAAACTCCAAGCATAATATACAGTAGAGTAATATGCTAGAGAACCACCAGATTGGAACTTGTCTAGAGAGAGAGAGAGAGAGAGAGAGAGAGAGAGAGAGAGAGAGAAGGGGGCAGTGTTTCCCCTTCCACTACTTAGGCAGGGCTCTCGGCTAAGCTCTATCAGCCCCTGCCAAAATACATCTGGATTTGGCTTCAACTGAACAATTTGGAGTTTGCAGTCTGCAGTCCACAGTACAGTACGGTGGACGATCTTGCATACCTGTGCCAAGCCACCCAGCCAAAACCTCTAGGGGAAACAATTGGGGGCTTTGTCCAAAATGGCACCCTCCATAGGGAATAGGGAGATGGGGTGCCCTGGTGTGGTTGGTGGTGTTCCATGCCAGGGGGTGTTAGTCAGTCTACTGGCTCATCTGGGCCTCCATGGCCTGGGCTGTCCACTCAGGAGCAGCAGCAGTGATCTTCTCCAGCAGATTGTTCACCTGGAAACACAGAGACTGGATCTGCTTGTCCCAGGTGGGCAGGGGCTCCCGTGCTGAGAGACAGAGATTGAGGGGGGAGGGAAAGAGCGAAAGAGAGAGTTAAGTATCATATTTAAAAGGAATAATGCTGGAAAAAAATCGGACACTGAACAAGATAAATCCCTCCAAAAAGCAAGCCTAGGATTACAGTTGCTCCAAAAAGGAACCATGGGAATCTTGCGCTGACAGGAAGAAACCGCAATAGGAACCAGGCCTAACCTAGAGAGGGAGGCATCTCATCCTCCTAGAGCCGACTGGGCAGTGGGCATAGCCAGGGACTTCTGTAAATAGAGGAGTCTGGGCACAGCTAACTACTCACTCTCAAAGTGGACGATTCCATCTATCTGGTCGATGAAGCCGTTCATGCGTCCCTCAGTGATCATCTGGGAGGCGATCTTCTCAGCCTGGGGACAGGGACAGACACAGAGGGACAGCTCACTGGCATCTCCATGCCCACTCACACTACACTACCAACTACTGCACAGGGACATGTCAACAACAAGTTAATACAAAGGCCCCGGCCAAAACAAACCCTAACCCCTTGCCTCTAGCCTTGGTGGATTGTTAGCCATATTGCTTAGCGTACAATCCTCTCAGATCCACATGAAGTGGCTAAGTGGTAGGGGTTAGGGGTTGTATTTGGACCGGGCCAGTGAAACATGATCAAATTCATTCCAGGCCAATACGAGTATGAAGTGTTGTTAGGTGTTAGTTAGTCTGTGAACATAACTACTGTAATACTTCACCACAATACAGCCAATGTGTATGTCATCTGTAAAGGTATGCATTACCTACAAATTACAATGTAGACTCTCACTCCCGTTATAATTCACTAACTCCATCCCACTTTCTACACTTTAATTCCACTGTAGCAAGACACGCAATTCATGTTCTTTCAACGATATACAGATAAATATATACATATATATATCATAGGTTTACTGCTTTTCTGGATGAGATAGCCTAGTCCATTTACACATCAACCAATGAGTAGTTCACATAACTCTACAGTCATTTCCAATTCGGCCCAGTTGAACCAGAGGAGAATAAGGTCAGAAACGTTATGTAGCAAAACATACTGTGGGATATAAGGTATGCATGTAATGAATGACTGGGTAATAACCAGAACCAAAATAACACAATAGAGGGGGAACTCAGATTGCACTGTTCCATGTTGATAGAACAGAAATACTTAGTTCAGGCAAGCTCAGACCTTTCTAACGCCTGTATTATTAAACCTAAACCATCTCCAATGCTTTCCTGTCATTCCAACATAGGTAATTTATTTGTACAGTATAATATCTTTTTTTTTTTGTATAACCTTAATTTACTACAATAAATTACAGATGTCTCTAATCAACTTGATCATCAAACAAGACTACATTTTCAAATGGTTATGAGTACTGCATCCCCAATCCCACTACCTGAAGTAGCCTACTTTGCAAAATATGACACAATATGAGTCTTTAGAATGACAAAGACTCCTTTTACGTTTACAAAAACAGAGATGAATAAACAGACTACCGGTATTATAAGGGGAGTGCACATTCAGTTCTGATTCTCTCTGTCTTCAACCGAGACATTTTGAGAGAGAGAGAGAGAGAGAGAGAGAGAGAGAGAGAGAGAGAGAGAGAGAGAGTGACAGACAGAGAGACAGAGAGAGACAGAGCCAAACAAGGCTTTTATTTCAATGTATTTTAGGTCTGTATTTTGGGTTTCACACCTCATTCATTAGTAAAGTAGTGATTATGTTCCCTACCAGATTGCATCTGTAACCAGGGACCTCACCATCGGGACAATCGTCCTGCACAACAACATATATATTCAAAATACAAGTCTTCTACGTAATGCTGCTGCTTTTTAAACTTCAACTTCAACTTTCATATTAACAGACCTCAAAATATTATTGCATTTAAAGTTTGGGATAAATACTATATGTCTGTGTTAGGGTGGTTTGAAGAAAATCCTATAAATAATTGGGGTTCTTTTTTCCCAACTTCAACCTGTCATACTAAAAGGTTTTGGTTGCCCTCAAAAGCTACTTTAATCATAAACCACATTCCCAACTCTTTCACTGAAAGTGATTTTCTCCATCAGATACTAAATGTCTTGAGGAATAAGATTCCTACACAAACTGTCACCCTTGATAACATATTAAAGAACAGTTTAAAATGGGCCTGATTTTCACCATTTACAAATATAGTAAGTAACAGAACGCATTACAAAAACCCAAGACCTAACCCCCCCCCCCCCCCCCCCCCCCCCCCCACAAAGCAACACTTACGCCTGTTGGGGTCTCGTATGTTGAAATCCATCTTACCTTAGCGGGAGGGATCTCCAGAAGCGCCCCTAGCTCTTCAAACGTGATGTTGTTGTAAAGTTTGCTAGCAGACAGCAGGTTGTGTTCAATAACGGCTCTGTCTAATATGCTGGAGCCTACAAACAGAAACCCACAGTAATGCAGTTGAGCATTTTTTCTTATTACACAATCAGTTGAATAGCTAAGGACCATGGAGAGAGAGGCTGAGGTGGAGACTGACCGTCCGCCATGGTGGCCTTCTGGTGGGGCATGAGCATGGCCGCAAACTCCTGCAGCTGGTTCCCCCTGATGATCCGGTCCAGGTACATCTTCTCTAGGATGCCGTAGGCCGCCAGCTGCTGACAGCGCTCGTCTTTAAACAGGGTGGCTAACATACGGGAGCGCTGCTGGCCTGGAGAGAGGGAGGGAGAAGTATGATGTTACTACCTTGCGGCCCCAATAAAGGGCAAGACAAAATCTGGAGCCATAAATGCAATGACACAGTCAGAGCTGCTTGAACTACATGCCTATTACTATGTTGTGACAGACAACACACCAGACAGTATAAAAACAGTGGCAGGTACCTGCTGACGCCAGGATGGTGCAGTGGAGAGCATGCTTCAGGGCCTCTAGACGCTCTGTCTCGTGGACAATGGACTTGTAGGAGAGCTCGTTGTACCTCTGTGCCGCCTCGATAAACTTCCTCCTGTAGTCCAACACTCTGGCGTAGCACACTTTGTAGTGTACCTGTAGCTGTTCGTTGGTGGACTCGTTCTGGAGCAGAGAGGCTCTGTTGATGTAGGCCTCTGCCTGAACAGGGTCATCATCCTCCAGGTACAGACGGGCAATCTTCAGGTACGTGTCCAACTTATAGTCTACGTTATACTGCCTGAACAAGAGGACAAGAGGGTTGATTACTTGAATCATATGTGTTAGTGCTGAGCTAGAACCAAATTGTACACTCCCAGCGGGTCCCCCTTCAATAGATTAGAAAAACACTGGACTAAAGTGAATTACTTCTGTCCTGTCTCCAGAGGAATGCCCACTAGAACCTGAGCAGCATTTCTCCAGTCCTCCTCCTTCTCATAGATGGTGGCTAAGTGCTGTCTGATGGAGGCCACCTGGGGGTAGACATGGGATTTAGACATAGGGTAGACATGTGTATTATTTATTTCCAACCAGTGTCTAGATCTGGGAAACCAGGTGTGTGCACTGTGCACTCTGTGAGCAATTTTTTTTTTTTTACCTTTATTTAACTAGGCAAGACAGTTAAGAACAAATTATTATTTACAATGACGGCCTACACCGGCCAAACCCGGACGACGCTGGGCCAATTGTGCGCCGCCCTATGGGACTCCCAATCACGGCCGGTTGTGATACAGCCTGGAATCGAACCAGGGGGTCTGTAGTGACGCCTCAAGCACTGAGATGCAGTGCCTTAGACCGCTGCACCACTCGGGAGTGCCAGGCAAAATCAAGTACTAGGCAAAAGAGAAAACCAGCAGATACTCAGGCCCCATGAGTAAAGTATTACAGTCCTCACCTGTTCTTCAAAGGAGATGACCCTTGGCTGTATCTTCTCTAGTGTGAAGTGGTAGACTGCCTTGGCTGTGCTGTCAGGAAGACTGGGGATATTTGTGCAGAAGTCTGTCAGCAGCTGTCTAGATATCACTAAGCTGACGTTTTCATTAACCACTGCAGGACAGGAGAGGATTACAGTTAGAAAGGATATACAGTCATGTGATTTATGAGCTATGATTGTACAAAGGAAAAGGGGGAATTTATGTAACAATGGTGTGCAGCAGGATGTATTCTATCCTTTACTTTGTACAGGATACTTACTTGCTTCAACGAATGCTTTTAATGATTCCAATTGTTCTGCATCTGTGAATTGGATGGCCTTCTCCAGAATCTGTCGATATCTATAATTGATAAAAGGGTTGGATTAGATAGCTATCTTAAATTAGAAATTATATTAATGACTTGAGAATTTAACATTATTTTCACTTATAGCAAGCCTATAATCACCAAATAAAAAACAATACACACATTTAACTAACAAGCAAAATAGAGTTAGCTAACGTTAGCTAGCTAGATAAGTGGGTTAACTAATGTTACATTTTTAGTTCTGTAGTTGCCATGGCGACCTAGTAGCAGCCTAAGCAGAGAACTCCTGTAAATGTGTACACATTCAATCAAGTTTAAGTGTTTTTAAATGTGTTTTTTTTTTATCAGCTGTTTTGATGTTGATAACATTGAGTTTTATTGCATATTTCTGGTGGTTTTGACTCAAAATCTGCAGATGGGCTGCCAGGTCAACTCTTTTTGGCCTGGCTAGCTGGCTGGCGAATTGTTTTTGTTCGAATGATGGATCTGGACACGGTACCAGCTTTTTAAGTTTCACCTGGCTGCTGGTTTCTGATCTTTTTAAAACATACATTAAAGAGTCACTTGAAGCTCGAGAAGAATGGGAGGTGCAGTAAAGGAATGCCGCACTGAGGCTGAGGGCTTGTAGTGAGGATGACTGGCTAGTGCTCTGAACTGTGTGTGGTGAAATTTCTGGCGCCGAGCTGCTGAGGGCCTCTGAGGCATCACCACAAGTAGGTGCCATATATACATTGTGAAGGAGGAGAAGTCCAGTAGCTACAGGACAGGCTGGTTCCCAGAGTAACCCTCTACATGATCGTCACCAGAATCTTTATCAACCATCTCCCTGACCACCTTCCTCTGATCAAGCCATGAACTGTCCCTCTCCATCTATGAAGGATGCATGCACTCAAAGATTTGGACTCTATTGGTTGACCTAACTGTACTGTAGCTAGGCTACTCATGATAATATATTGATTGTTTGTTTTTTGCTTTTGAAGCGTTTTAAGATTGTTATGAAAATCGCTATAGAAATGTAATAAATTATTATTAAAGGCCATACAGTAGCTAGCTAGCTGATGATAATTTACTGTCTGTAGCTAGCTAATCGACCAGCAGTGCACATTGTTGATAACAAGACCTTTGGCAAGACTTTCAACCACCGATACTGTCTCGCTAGCTAGCTAATATTATTAGCTAACATACAGGTAGCTACAAACCAGTAAAAAGTATACAACAAAGACGGAAGAGAAAGCGAGACCACTCCATGGTTTTTTTGTACATATAGCCTACAGTCAGCTACAGACCAGACCCAGCTGCTAATGCATTGGTGACTATGAGAGCCACCGTTAAGCAGACCGGAACTGACAATTTTTTAAAAATGGTAAACGGCCTGAGTGGAACATCTTAATTTATCCACCATCTTTGGGTATAGCTGTACCGGTAGCTAGCTAGCTGCAGTGTGATGCGAATTAGCTAGCTAACTAGCATAGCATCGGCGGGCTGCTCATTGACACATTTATAATTCACTGTAAACATGACACTCGGGTTGAAAGTAATGTATATCTCCATTCACATATATTTTCAACCATTTTTGTAAAATACATACTTTCCAGCGAGATCTTTGTGGGATCCGCTTGAATTCATAAGCTGTGCAAGCTCCTGTCTCACTCCGGCCGCCATTTCTCCGACGAAGTGTCAACAACGACAATTCTCAGCTGACAAGAGGGTATGTCCACCTTACCGCCTGGAAGGTCCTCCAAGACTGACAACCGACCTGTACAGCTCTCGTTTTGGTCTCTAATCTGGTATTAGTTTGCTTTTTAGACTTTACTGATAATATGATACATTTTATGATCTGTATGGAATAGTTACAATTCTAACAAAAGTTTTACTAGCTATATAAAATCATTATTTTTCACGTCTGTGTTTTCCAAAGAAATATTATTGATATTATGATGGTGAGACAAAATGTACGTCTATACTGGAACTGAATTAACCTTATGAAAATGATATAGTATGAACAGTAGAGTTTAATAATATATACTATCAATAAGTTGTTCTTCATGGATATTAGTTAGCATCAGCACCAATTCCAACACAACCGAAGTGGAGCCCAAATGAAATCGCCTTAATATCGGTTTGTTGATATTTGTAGCCACTGTAAAAAGCCGGTTCCAATTAAATCTCTACCCCTTCAATGGTCGCAGATCTGTAAGGTGGAATGGAAGCATATGGTGAAAGCTTTGCCACTACACTGCTACTATATACAGCATTTAGTAGTCTAGGCTACATACAGTCATGGTCAAAAGTTTTGAGAATGACACAAGTAGTGGTCTTCACAAAGTTTGCTGCTTCAGTGTTTTTAGATATTTTTGTCAGATGTTACTATGGTATACTGAAGTATAATTACAAGCATTCCATAAGTGTCAAAGGCTTTTATTGACAATTACAATAAGTTTATGCAAAGAGTCAATATTTGCAGTGTTGACCCTTCTTTTTCAAGACCTCTGCAATCCACCCTGGCATGCTGTCAATTAACTTCTGGGCCACATCCTGACTGATGGCAGCCCATTCTCGCATAATCAATGCTTGGAGTTTGTCCGAATTTGTGGGGTTTTGTTTGTCCACCCGCCTCTTGAGGATTGACCACAAGTTCTCAATGGGATTAAGGTCTGGGGAGTTTCCTGACCATGGACCCAAAATGTCGATGTTTTGTTCCCCGAGCCACTTAGTTATCACTTTTGCCTTATGGCAAGGTGCTCCATCATGCTGGAAAAGGCATTGTTCGTCACCAAACTGTTCTTGGATGGTTGGGAGAAGTTGCTCTCGGAGGATGTGTTGGTACCATTCTTTATTCATGGCTGTGTTCTTAGGCAAAATTGTGAGTGAGCCCACTCCCACGGCTGAGAAGCAACCCCACACATGAATGGTCTCAGGATGCTTTACTGTTGGCATGACACAGGACTGATGGTAGCGCTCACCTTGTCTTCTCCGGACAAGCTTTTTTCCGGATGCCCCAAACAATCGGAAAGGGGATTCATCAGAGAAAATGACTTTACCCCAGTCCTCAGCAGTCCAATCCCTGTACCTTTTGCAGAATATCAGTCTGTCCCTGATGTTTTTCCTGGAGAGAAGTGGCTTCCTCGCTGCCCTTCTTGACACCAGGCCATCCTCCAAAAGTCTTCGCCTCACTGTGCGTGCAGATGCACTCACACCTGCCTGCTGCCATTCCTGTGCAAGCTCTGCACTGGTGGTGCCCCCGATCCCGCAGCTGAATCAACTTTAGGAGACGGTTCTGGCGCTTTCTGGACGTCCTGAAGCCTTCTTCACAACAATTGAACCACCCTCCTTTTAAAGCTTCCAGTCTGTTATTCTCACTCAATCAGCATGACAGAGTGATCTCCAGCCTTGTTCTCGTCAATATTCTCACCTGTGTTAACGAGAGAATCGATGACATGATGTCAGCTGGTCCTTTTGTGGCAGGGCTGAAATGCAGTGGAAATGTTTTTGGGGGGATTAAGTTCATTTTCATGGCTAAGAGGGACTTTGCAATTAATTGCAATTCATCTGATCACTCTTCATAACATTCTGGAGTAAATGCAAATTGCCATCATAAAAACTGAGGCAGCAGACTTTGTGAAAAATAATATTTGTGTCATTCTCAAAACTTTCGACCACGACTGTACATTGAAGTTTTAAATTACATCCATTTGAATATTTTACTTTGGCCAGGTGGCAGCATTTCTCCTCTTACCACCACGGTTGCTGAAATGGAAGCCATGTTAACAGGTGTGAATCAAAAATATATTGGTCAACCTTGACACACCTTCAGATAGACAACTAAATGACAGACATGAGAAAAATAAATATTCTTCTTCGATGAGGTTTAATGGCGGTTGGCATCCAATAAATGTTGCATTACCGCCACCTACTAGACTGGAATATAACTCCCTTATACTGTGTTTGAAAAAAAAAAGTATATATATATATATATATATATATATATATATATATATATATATATATATATATATATATATAAATCAACAAATACCCTACCATCTAACCCTACACTCATTAAAAACCCACCACCCTACTCCACTATTTAAATATATCTAGTCCTACCTCAGGCCAACAGCCTGAAAGGATGGGACACCACCACTCAACACACCCTGTAACCTTTCTGATGTCAAGTCTCGTACACCCAAATACTTATCTGCAGCTGCCACCACAACCTCAATTTTCTGCGACTTACGTTCCATCCCTGCAGAACAGTTGATAACCATTGTTATAAACGCTAAAAATAGGTCTTACTGAAGCATATATCGCTTGTTGGCCTATCCCACTGTACTGGTACAGATCTACTACTCACACCACTCCTCTCAGGATCCCTCCACCTTGAGCCTTTCTTCACTGCCTCAGCATACGACTTCTGCACTACTGTAACTCTGGAAACCTCAACCTGCCTCTCTCACACTGGACATTTCTGATCCCCAGCCCCATGGGCACCCCTACAATGAATACATACCTAGTCATTTAGCAGATGCTCTTATCCAGAGCGACTTACAGTTAGTGAGTGCATACATTTTCATACTGGCCCCCCGTGGGAAACGAACCCACAACCCTGGCATTGCAAGCGCCATGCTCTACCAACTGAGCTACATCCCTGCCGGCCATTCCCTCCCCTACCCTGGACGATGCTGGGCCAATTGTGCGCCGCCCCATGGGTCTCCCGGTCGCGGCCAGCTACGACATAGCCTGGATTCGAACCAGGATCTCTAGTGGCACAGCTAGCACTGCGATGCAGTGCCTTATACCACTGCGCCACTCGGGAGTCCAACAATGTAATGTATTCGGCACAAAAGCTCGTACGGAATAACTTATATATCCTAACATCACTTTGTTGGGCAAAGACTCAACATCAAAACAAAAAAGAACAGACAAACACTCTTCTGTTTCACCACTCACGCCCCCCTGTCTGCGTCGCACCAAACGACCAATCTTCCCCTTCAGTTGGTCAACTTTCCCAATTACCACTACCCCAGAAATCACTCCTTTCAATGGTGCCCTTTTCTTCAGAGCAAAAACAATTCACATCTCTTGTCCCATTCATTTGACACAGAGCGCCTGCTCCCTCTAACCAGCAGAAACACAAACAATTATCACAAGACCACTTCTAATTACCTTCACCGATTCCACATCACCCAACTCTGTTTTTAACCCACACTGAAACCAAGAATGGATCCACCAAAGGGCAAGGGTCCACTTTTTCCAAAAATTTCACTCCTACCTTCTCATCTTTATCCTGACTCTCGGTGCAAGCCTCAGGCTCCGAGAACTTCACCACACCTACCACCTCCAATAATTCGCCCTCCCTCACTTCCATTCTCCTCTACCATTCTTCTTTAACAAACCATCTCCCTTTTTCCCACCATTCTTAAGCTCACCCTCTTCCTCCCTCTCTCTCTTCGACTTCCTCTGCCTCTCTTTTTCCCTCCATTTCTCCTCTGTATTCCAAGTATACGGCTCCTTATGATAATATTGTACTTCTCCTGACATACATCTCGTTCTTGCCCTCTCAAGGGACATCATTCCCCTCGCTACCTGGGGAACCCCCCAATAGCAAAGTTCAATCATCTCCTGGTTGAATATTTGTTGATAAACTTCGGAGCCCTTTAAAAAGAACTGTGCGTCCGCCATGAGAAAATAATGACTGATGCCAAGCATAAAAAAATGTGAACAAGGTTTTTCATCAAAGCACAACAAGAGTCTAATTGCCAGCTGAAAGGTCAAAGGTGAGCTCTTAGACTATGTCCCAAATGGTACCCTATTCCATATGTAGCGCACTACTATTGACCTGGTGGGACCCTCTTAGATGATGTAGAACAGGGGTGTCAAACGTCAGGCCCGCAACGGGTTTAATCCGGCCCGCGAGATGATTTTGAAAAAAATAATAATAATAATAAAAATATATATATTTTTTTTGTAAAGTATAAAAATGCGCTGCAATTTTTCAATAAAATAAACTGCTGTTCCAATTGCGTCCACTGGATGGCGCAATAGCAATTGTGTTAAGCAAAGCAAACTGTTTATACCGGGGCAGAGCAAGTAGGTCAAGCACGTGCAGCCAATGAGCTACTTTGTTTTGCCCGCGATATTTATTACGGCTTCTACTTTTAACATTATGTGCTTTGGCACCCTCATTGCCCCAATATGTATATGGATTTGGACAGCCAGTTGAAGCAAAAAGTAAAGTCATTTATTGCGTTTTCGGTTGCAATTGATGAAAGCACGGACATTACAGATGTTGCACAACTGGCCATTTTCATCCGCGGAGTTGATGGACACATTGACCGTCAGGTTCGTGGAGTTGGGTGCCGATGACAGATACAACGACAGCAGCTGATATTTTTACCGCACTCGTCGGCGCGCTGGACAGGGTCGGAGTGGACTGGTCCCGCGCTGTCAGCCTGGCTACAGATGGTGCGCCCTCAATGATCTGGAAAAAAGCAGGCGTTGTGACAAAGTTCAGAGAGAAAGTGCAATCTGCAAATGGAGGACGTGATTTTTTGACTTTTCACTGTATTTTGCACCAGGAGGCTTTGTTGTTGCAAGTCATTAAAGATGGATAACGTCATGAAGGTGGTCATCCAAACTGTTAATTTCATCCGATCCAGAAG